TCCCATCAAGCATTAGGGGAATTGCCAATAAACCCCTGGCTGCCTTCAAGAGAGAGCTCGGACAGATACCTAAAGTCGGTGCGGATCAGCCGGGCTGTGGCTCGTACGTCGGACTGCGTGCGGCCAGCAGTAACAGCCTAGTTGATCAGGCCCTGATCCATCGGGAGGCCTGGTCATGGACCAGACTGCGGGGGCGTTGATCCCGGAATAACCTCCAGGTAACCTCCAGGTAAGCTTTGAATGCTTTAGTTTCTGCATATGCTTGACCATGTTAGTGCTGCACGATGGGGGTACTTAGCGAAACATATTTGGATGAAATCTGAGGTTTGCTAGTCTTACATTTGCCGCTAACATTTATATGGTTTTTTATGTACCTCCGGTGATAAGTTTGGTGTGATGTCATTGCCCAGATTTTTTCTTTCACTAATGTGTGCACCGTCTCACTTTTAGACTGTACTCTGTCTCCGGGCTTCCCATCTTCCATCCATATGACCTTTCATTTTTTGGATGGAACATCTATGGCCTGTCCATGTTTCCATGGAACTTATCTTTGTCGCCTTCTGTTTGTATTTTTCATTCAAATTTGAACTTCATCCAACAGACATAAAAATTCACTACAAGAGTACCAGTACTAATACTGATCCCTTACCGCTACTCACTGTCTTGCGTAGTCAAATGAGTTGCCTCTTTTGAAGTATAATATTCAATGTTTCGATAATGTGGTGACCTAGTTGTGCTGCTGCTGCTAGGTATGTGACAGAAGGAAGTTCTCCCGAGCGAGGTGCGGGATGCAATTATGCAAAACTACTACTCTGAAAAAATAAAAAGATGAAGAACCTTATGCGCTCACATTTTTCCATTTTTCTTTTATTATTATTATTTTATTATATTATATTATTATTATTATTATTATATGAACAGTCTTGGGCATAAGGGGATTTACCAATAGGCCTTGGCTTCAAGAGGGAGCTGGACAGATACTTAGTCGGTGCCAAATCAGCCGGACTGTGGTTCGTACGCTGGACTATGTGCGGCCAGCAGCAAACAGCCTGGTTGATCAGGCCCTGATCCACCGGAACGCCTGGTCATGGACGGGCCGCAGGGGCGTTGATCCCCGGAATACCCTATAGGTAGACTCCAGGTAGCGGTTTTTGATTATACCCAGTCTTTATTTATTCAAACTTCGTACAATAATACCATTCACTATAAGCTAAGGACTAAAATTATTTTAGGGTAAGTAATGTGTGTACTGTACATGCATTTTTTTTTGCTCACCTAATATATGATAGTGTTAATATCATTAGGGTTTTTATATGCACCCTGAAAGTAATAAAATGGTATAAAATACCGACAGGTGTTAGTGTAAGGCCCACATATGAAACAGTTAGCTATCTTTATTTCGAAACGTTCGCCTACACTAGGCTTCTTCAGTTCGAGTACAGCAAACGTTGATAGAAAAGCAGAAGAACTTGAAGACGATGCCTTCAGTCACATCACCCTTAAAGTTTTGAGGTGGTCAGTCCTCATTCAGGGAGCAGAATTGTTCCGGTTGTTGAATCCGAAATTTTCCTAGGACAACGGAACTATTGCTTTTCGAACTAAGGGACTGTCACCTTGAAAAAAGTATAAGGTTGGACTGATTACCATTCGTCTTCCCAGTACCATGCTTTATGAACTTTGTATAAGATTCGAATGAGAACCCTACTGTGTACGAAACTTTTCGAAATGCATACGTTTCCTAGAGCTGTGGGATTTGTGGTTTTAATTTAATTTCAAGCTGACTTGTGACCTATATATTTATCCATGTTTCATATTTTTCATACTGAATATCGCTGGATCCTCCAGTGAAAACTAGAGAACTTGTGTTAAAAATGTGGGTGGCTTCTTCATGTCAGTTGCGGGGATTTTTGAAAGGGCTATCTGATCCCTGACTGTACTTGTTATTACTGAAAGAATCCTTTGTTAGACTTATCTCTTGACTTTAGACTCATAATTCTGTGCTTTCTAATCTTTGTATTTCTCTCTATGAAATATATCAAATTTCTCATTGCCCTTTCTTTTACGTTTAATTATCTTTTTGCACAATCGGTAGTGCTTTTGTTTTATTGGAGGATAAATTTGTTTGATTAAATTCCCTTTGGAACACATTTGTCCTCAATGATGCATCAGAAATCTAAATGACCCGTTGCAAACAACCATATCCGGAACCGCGCACTTGACCCGTCAGGTCAGAGCAGTTCCCAACTCAAGATCTGAGTCCTATGAAACGCACGGTCAGGAGATTTGATGCATTTGACGCGGGTTCAATTCCCGGTGGTGTTTGATCCTCAGGATTTAAGGTTTACCGAATTAGGAAGATTCGAGACTTTCACCTTACGCAAATTATTCAATTAGTAATTGTGACAATAGATATGTAATAACGGTAATGATTTTTATACCTATTGGCTCTGTCTCTAATCACCTTTGACTGAACACAACTGAAGTTATATTGATGAAATTCATAAGAGTGTAAATAAGGACAACTTACTCAGGTCAACTGTCCCATAGCTGATGGCAGGTCCAATTCCAACCAGTTTTCTATCAGTGACCTAACATTAGTCCAAAGTTAGGCACTTCACTTCAAGGAGCACGAGCCCAATGTAATACATATAACAAAAATCAGGTTGGAAACACCAGTAGGAATTCCAGAGATATCCTACGTGGAATGATCTTCAATTAATATCTGTTTTAAAAATTTTACTTTCTTGAATATATCGCTATATCACCACATTTCCTGTTAGACCTTAGTATAATATTTATAGTTGTATATGTAATAGATTTATATATTATCGATATGAGCCAGGTCTTTTAAATAGCAATAAGTATCCTACACAAGTCCGGATTTTCACCTGCTTCTTCTGATTGTCACTGTGCATCTTGGCTATTCGATAGAGAAGTTGAAGAGGATTGGTGATGCAATTTGGCGGGTGTGCAAACTTGAAATTAGAAGTGATATTACATGAAATATAAGTTATGTGATGACAAAGATTAGGTGATGAAAGATTGACTACAATTGTTGCAGACTGTGTTTCAAGGACAACCCATTCCCATACTTCTAGTTTAAATCTAGCGATGTTCACCAATGGCCTTCTCAATCGAGTCTGCAAGTGCTACCACCCCAGCCCCAGAGAGATGTACCCCATCCCTTGCATACATATCATGTTTGCCATAAAAGTTGTTCCAGTTGTCAATGAATGGGATTGCAAGTTCCTTGCAGATCTGTCTAGCCAGCAATTTACACCAATTGCCCTAGACAACCATTCATTTCCTACTCCCCTTCTAGGCAAGATGCTACATATGATTGGGATCCCCCCCTTAGACTTAATGAAATCTATAGCTGACCTGTACTTAAACTAGCAGCTCTTTCTCTCCTACCCTTTCCCCAAAATCATTTCCACCAGCACTGAGACAGATAATGGGGTTGTTCCCATTACCTGACATGATATTTTTCCAGCCTGTTGACAATGTCCCCAAAAACCAGCTCCAGGGAAGCACACTCTATTCTCTCTTCTTATTCCTATTACAAAAAGCACGGTCAATATATCTTAAACCCGAGAGTCACCCAAACCCCAAGAATGCGCTTACCTCCATTAGCAGGGCAGTAGTACCCTTACCTTCACTGGCCACTGAAGTACATTCATCCTGAAGAACGAGAAGCGATTTCCCACCTCAGATCTTCACTCTTAACTTTCCTTACTCTGATGCACCTTCCATTACGTGAACCACTCGCCCCTTGTAGCAGGTGCTGGACTGCACCTCAGCTGGTAGCCGTTGCTACCTCCCCAACTACAGCCTCCTCACGGCGAGAGACAGACTGCACCTCACTTGAAGCCTCATTCCCACAACTCCAGCCACCTCACACTCTCTCCCAGACCCATTGAAGTGGTCCTTCAGCCTCCTAATCTCCTCCTGGAGAAGCAAGACCTCCTCCTTCAACTCTCCAACCTCAATTTTTAAAACACTGCAGAAGCAAGCCATGCTTTGTAACCGTCCACACTAATCCCCAAAGCAGCTCAGGGTCTGTGACCTCACGTGAAACAAATCATACACATTACTAACATATATTGTAATGCATTCACTTTTTTTGGTTAATCCTTGTTAAAAATCTGCAGCATTTGTCACCAGTATATGTAGAACAATATATATTTAACCTAAATATTATCATGACCTGAATAAATAAATTCTGTAACCATGGCAACCTGATCGCACCAGTGCGTATGTATATTTCTTACAATAATTTTGTTAAGACGGACAGAACATGGATAAATTCACACATACACACAGGCCTTCCCATTTTCTTTTCCCGGACTCTGCCCGTAAAGCTTGTTGGTTCTCACAAGGTTCTTGGTTCCACAGCATCCCTGAGTTTCGCTTGCATCTCGGTCATCTCTGCCTCTCCTGTGATGCGACCCTCTCTGCTCCTTCACTGTTTCTTTCTTGCGACTTACCGCAATGTGCTTATGCTATTCCTGTTTTTACTAAGATGTAATACATTTTAGAGCTTAAATTTAAAAGCTCTGGCTTCGTTCACTTAGTGATCACCATTTTGTGTAGAATGAGAAATTTTTTGTTCAAGGCGTCATATTGATGCTAATTATTTATTCAGTGCGTCATTTACATAAATTATGTAGTCCAGAGCCTAATTAGTAGCTTAATTACCTTCTTAATTATGACACACAGCTAAAATCATGCAAGTAATCCAGTTGGATAGAGATTTTTCGAATGATGCCGACTCCAGAGTAAGGTTATTCGTGCTGGCTTCACGGCGCCGCTGCCTCGGTACGAGCAACCCCAGTGCGTACAGAAAACGTTTCTTATCTCTAAAACCCCACCATATCACTCTTTCCACACTGCACACATGTGTACTACACTTCTCCATGTACTGGTTAACGTCAACATGGAGTTGAAATAGGGAAAAAGATGCGAAAACAGGGTTAATTTCGGTATATTGTGGCGCTACTTGTGTTAGCGGAGGGAGTGTGGTGCGTCCATTGATCGGGTAAGTGAAGCTCCCTCCGCCAGTGACTGTGCTCAGTGTGTTGTGTGCAGCCACGATCTCTCTCTCCCTCAATACTCACCCCTCTAGTCCAGCCACTACTTCGTGGCTCAGTTTTTATTCCGTGAACTTCTAAGTAAACCGCCAAGCTGTGGGCTTCCAGCGTATTCCCCCTGCCGCCGCAGGTACCTCCCGCCTACTATCCAGTAAGTATGCAACGATTTTGGAATCGCAATGCGTCAGAGGCGACGAGGAGCAGACAGCCAGGCTGTTCGTACACTGTCTTTACAGCAGTAAAGCCAGCTTTCAGGAAATGATAGCAGACATCCAGAGACTCGGCTGCTTCACCAGGAAGTGCGTAGTGCAGAAGAAACTCCAGAAGTAATCAAAACCGCCGTTGAAATGTGAAATTTATTCTCCAAGAGCCATGATGCGCACGAGCAGTTTGTTTTTATATATATATATATATACCAGAACGGTGCCAGGGAGAGTATATATTAAATTCCACGATAATACCGTCTCATTGAAAACCAATGTAGATTTAATGAGTGCTACAGGGAAGAATAAGAGAGAAACCTGACTAGAGAACTAGTGTCTTCTCTCCCTGATGCAACCTTACACTCCCCACATCCACATTCCTCTCTCCATTACTCTTGTCTCTCTCCCTCTCTCCCTTTCTTATCCATTTTGTATATGGATATCCCCCCAAAGTGACGTACAAGGGGGTTTTCTATCCCGAAAATGGTTTGCAGTGCCAGAGGTGGAAATTTTTCAAGAGGTGGAAAAAGCAATGGAATTATTATGTTTTTTTCCTTCACTAATTCCAAAAAATAAGAAAAAAAAAAAGAATGGCTTGACAGTAAATCTTGTGTAGCTTTAGTGGTCGTAGTTATTACAAAGACAAAGGTAACCAGTAGTTTGACGGTTTCGTTATACTGTAGAAATGTGATTTTTTTTTTAATGGTAATATTGTGTATGTGAAGGCATATTTTTCGCGTATTCCGATAACTGAATCGATACGAAATGTTTGTAATTTGTTCTCCACATGAAGAAGAAAGTAGTAATATCGGTGGGAAGAGTAGGGTGGAGTATTGAACGCCAGGGTGAAGTTGTAAGTAGTGGTGGAAGATGCAGTAAGGAGTGTGGTGGGACCCACGCCAGATCCCTTGCCACCCCACGCTCCCTTCTCCCAGCTCCTCCCTTCTCCCAGCCCCTCCCTTCTCCCAGCCCCTCCCTCTCACTCCCTCTCCCTCACTCTCGCTCCCTCACACACCCCTTGTCCTGCTCTACTCGCCCGCCAAACCTTCTACCAGCCTAACTGCATGGCTTGTCCACAGGACTTTGGAAAATAAATCAAGGACCCTAATCGAAATAAGTCACTTTGACTTATTTGGGGGATTATCCTAGGTGATTTACACTATGTATGATAATTGTACTTAGTGTACCTGTGCCTAAATAAAATTATTGGTTGCTTATTCTCGTATTGATGACTTCGGCCATGCGGTAGGCGTGGGCGAAACGTCAATAAGAGATTCCATGTACCTATATTCGTCACTCCTATCGTGTCAGTATCACGTACCATTACCTATCCAATTGGCGCTTCTGATAACAGCAGAATTTGCATGTTGACTAATATAGTCATTGATGCAGTGATAAAATTTGCTTATTCAAATTAACTTATTCCGAATTACATTTTCACCCGAGTCATATTTTAAAGGAATCACATTGGTGGCTGAGGTATGGTACAGCCGACAAAGTAAAAATAAGTACAAAAAAATAAATCAGTACGACGCTCCACCTACATGAGACTTTATCACGCCTCATGTGGGCGAAACTTACTAATAAAGGTATCATTTCGTGCTATTGTGTCTTCACAATATATAGGCTAGACTAATTTATAGAATCAGATTTATGTTACTTTGCTAAGGTCTGATATATTGCTCCATAAGTGTGCGTGATTGGGCTTAACTAGCATGGGCCAGTAGACTTGCTGTAGTGCTCCTTCTTTCTTATGTTCTTAAAGTTTCATTAGATAGATTAAGGGGGGGGGAGAAATGTAGATATAGTGCGCTTAATAACATTTTGCAAAAACCGATAAACTGGTTATTAAAATTTAGAGAGGCGTTTTGGGTTGTGCATTATTATCAGTTCAGTCTAGTTTTCCGCACCAATTAGTAAGCTAGTCGAGAAATGCTACATTTTGCATTTACTCGAAAGAATGAAGATTAGAATTGACCTTCGAGGGAGGTGCATTGATGCATATGAAGTTCTCATGACTCGGGGAATTTGATCCTCCCATAGCTTAGATTTAAACCTGATTTCATCTCATTCCCCAGGCGCTGTGTGACCTGCGGGTTTAGCGTTTACCCCAAATAATAATAATACACTAGAAAGATGGCATTACCTAGTACTGTTTAGAACATACTGAACAGTACTAATCAGGTCCTGACCTAAGAGCAACTAAT